CTAGGAGTCAAAAGCAGCTGATAGGAACTGTGGAAGGTGCTTGGAGAAATGAAAAACATGAAGATGTTTTGACCAAATCAATGAGAATCTGTGTTAGGTTAGTAAGAATTTGGTGGAATGTGGGCCTAGCCTGCCCTTCTTCCTCCTCCATTCATATTCTTTGTCTGAGGATACATAGTGAGTTGGTATAAATCTAGAGAGGCTGGGATCACAGAACTTTACTAACTGAGACTATGGAACATAAAATTCAGAGAAGGAAAATTCTCCCTGAGGAATGATTCTAAGAGAAAATGAGGAGTTCATCCTCACAGACCCTTGCCCTCTGTGTTACATGGAGCCATCCACTCCATATGCCAGCATCTAGCTAAGAGTTCAAAAGTGGGTATAATTTGTAAGAGTTAAAAAATGTATAAAGTAGTGAGTGTGTAGAATAATTATTTAATTTAAGTCTCTTTTACTTATCAGCTAATTTTTTTAAAAAAATTCATGTATTACCTGGCTCTGTGGCAAAATGGATAGACGAAGAAAATGAATGTATTTAGTGAAATTTAATTCATGAAAAAATAAGTTGTTCATAAAATACTAATGTGTTTCCTGTACACTTTACTGTAATAAAAAAGGAATGAATAACATACCCTTATCAGCCATGGGAATCATGCCAAATTCTATTAAATTGTTTAATATAAATAGACTATCAATAAACATCACAGTATAAGAAACACACAACAGACATACAAAACAGACAAGACAAGAAAATCCCCATGGCCTATCATAGCTAAAACACTAAATATAAAGAACAAAGAAAGTGTGTTAAGAGCTGTGAGCTAAAAGACACAAGTCACACGTAAAGGAGAACCCATCAGAGAAATGGCTGTTTTCTCAGTGTAAATTTTGAAAGGCAGACGAGCCATGAAGCAATTCACGATGGTCAACCTAAACTAATACACTTCGTACATTTCTTTTTATTTTTTTTATTTTTTTAATTTTTTTGGTTTTTCGAGACAGGGTTTCTCTGTGGCTTTGGAGACTGTCCTGGAACTAGCTCTTGTAGACCAGGCTGTTCTCAAACTCCCAGAGACCCCCCTGCCTCTGCCTCCCGAGTGCTGGGATTAAAGGCGTGCGCCACCAATGCCAGGCTGTCTTTTTAAAATATACATTTTAACTGTGATTTATTTTAAATTTATAGAAAAGTTTCAAAAGTAGTAAAGAAAGTTCTCGTGCAGCCCTCAGTCAGTTTCAGTTCCCTTTAAAACCATGTTTCAGTGGCATCAAACTTGCAGAAAAACCAAGGAGCTGTAGTTGGAGACATGACTCATTTGATTTGTTTGTTTTTTTAAAGACCTTTGTTCAGTACGTGGTGACTCATACCATCCAAAACTCCAGCCCCAGAGGAACTGATGCCCTCCTCTGAACTTCACAGGCACCAGGCATACACATGTCACACACACATACACACATGTGAAACATCTGTATACATTAAATAAAACAAGCAAATCTAAAATAAAAACTAAAGAAGACAAGAAACCAAAACTGATACTTACTGCTAACTAATGTTTTCGCTAGGTTTTAGTCATAATTTATTGATAAATTTTCATCTGATAAGTATTTTAATGAACAAAATCAAGATTTTTATAACTAAAAATGAGTTACAATTTTAGATAGTCTTTACCCAGGTAGATTTGGAATTTGGTGCCTGAGTCTCTTCAATATGAAATGGTAGAATGAAGTAAAAAATATTGAATCATATATTTGAGATTTAAAAAGTAGTATTAATATCAACATGAGATTCATTCTTACAGTTTCACCATGTGAATGATGTTGCAAATAGGATCATTAAAAGCATGCTTAGAAATTTGAAAGGGAAACTAAGGAACTGGGAATTTATTCAAAGTTGGTGAAAACCAATAATACTTTTGAGAGCTGAGTTGTATTTTGATGCCTTATAAATATTAAATAAATGCTAAACATAAAATTATATGTAATTAATCTGTAAGAAACATTCAGCATATTGAATGTGATATCATTTGTAAGTTACTGCAATATCTATAGCAAAAAAATAATAGTTTATAGTAATAGCAAAAAGTAGTGTCTTCCTTCCCTTTTGAGTTTAGGTTTTTATCTTGTTTAGTTTTCTACTGTGATTTCTTTAGGAATTCATGTCTGTGAAGAATTGCTAATAACAAGCAGGTCCACAGTCACTTGTGGTACATTACACACAGGGTAATGTATCCTTCTCATGACAGGGTGATCAGCTGAACAGGAAGCACTGGCCACTTCCTAAGGTCTTCTTGATAGCTTTCTTTACTTCCTGGTTCCTTAGGCAATAGATGAAAGGATTCAGCATGGGTGCAATAAGTTTACTGGAATTAAAAGACATGACAATAGACCTTAGAAATATGTTTGTTGTAAAAGTATTCTGAAAGTGCAACCTCTGTATGTTTCAAACATGTACGATCTGGTAGACATGTGCCTCATGCCGCTGGAGACTCAGATATATCTCCCCTTGCCTGTAACCTATTTCCTGTGGATTTTAAATGATTAGGAAATACATGACTATGACTATAATCCCATATTTAGTTAATATTCATATGCTTACTGGTTACAAAGTAGATCAAGTAGGGAAAAGGCAACCCAGTCTCCGGGCCAGATAGTTCAGGATAAGGCATGGGGTATGCCAGCTAGGAACCTGTAAACAGGTAAGAACTGAGGGATGCTAGGAGAACCTGGAGGCTGGGATTTGACACATTGAAAAGCGCCTTAGTTAGCTATTTGTCCCAGGTTTGAGACCTAACATTTACAAAACTCAAGCCTCTAATCTTGAAGACTATGATTCAGATACCTAAGATAGTAATTAGTAAACATATTTCTAAGGTCTGAGAAATTAAAACGGAGCTCTGGCCTCCACTGAAGACCTCTTAAGTTCACATTACGTAGGACCTCTTCCCCATATTCATGCTAATGAATTCTCATGTACTCAGACATACTTGTTTATTTAAATACTGTTCCATTCTGTTTGCTACTAATGTTCTTTCTTCTTAGTAAGCTCTATATTGAGCCATTGAGTAATGAAGAATTCCCTCTATTTTTATTGCCTTATTTTCAGAATAAAGAACACCAAGCCTGTGTATCTCTATATTACTAAAAGAGTCCAATCATTGTGCTACAAAATGTGTTTATACTCTGTAATACTTGTTCTCAAGAGACAACACAGCCTAATATTTTTTCTAGAACAAGAAACATATCTTTTATGTTTTTGTCAAATGCTCTGAATATTCTACACAAGCCCAAATTTCTCCAAACTTTAGTAAAGGTATAAGGTGCACTGAACTTCCATTATTCTATTAATTTCCTTCAGAATCATGCATAATCCCAGAAATGGTGCTTATTGTCATTTTACAAAGCTCCTCATTTTCTATGGAGCTTTCTTCAGACCTAACTGATTTTACCTGGTACCTCTAACCACTCACCATAATCAAAATGCCCTTTTAGAGAACAGAGTTTGCTTCAGACATTTATACTAGATGGGGCCACTGTAGGTGGTTTCTCTAACATCAATGTCTAGTACTGTTTATGTTAGATTGGAATTACTGCAGCATGGACACAAAAACTCAGTCTTCTCAAAAGGCTAACTTAGGCATTTGTCCTGACTTTAGAGAAGCTCTGTGCACTAGCAAGACTATATATGTCCAAGGGACCTGGACAGAAAAAATGAATCTACCCATCTGAAGATTCCTGATTACACAGGAACTATGTCTCTATCTGTGGGCATGGCCTTTTTGTCTTATTCTTATATGAAAACTGGTGTGATGCCAAGTTACAAAATCCTCTAAAAGAAACTTAACTAGGTTCATAAAACAGTACATTAATTTGTAAAAATGGGTGATGAGAGCCAAGTTACAATTGGTAAGGAAACATATATTACAGTACTCATTTATTTATTCTTTATATTGAAAGACTAAGTTCAATTCTTCAAAATAAAGATATTAAACTATGTGCATTTCTTTGGAAGCTTATGGAGTTCTAAGTAAAGTAATATATACTAAGACAGACATGTGGAGAAGTGAGAAATCCTAGGAAAGCTTTGTCAGTCCCTAAGATCTGGATCATTCTGTTTGTGTAACTTACTGGAATTTGGTGAAGGAGTCTGAACCTAATACTTTCTGTACTTACTGCCTCCTCTTCTTCTACACCTTCCTCCTCATCCTCATCCTCTAGTCATATTCACTGGAGAGTATGTGTAGCTAGTTCAATGGGCTTCACTCTTTTTTTCCCATAATTCTGGAGTTAGCCACAGTCTCACAGGTGATAGGAAGTACTGCTGACTAAGCTACAACCCTAGCCCTGCTGGTCTTCTTAAAATGCAACCATAGAAATGAAAAGGCACTAACTCAATAACCTCAGGAAATTTGGTAATGCAATCGAAACCACTATGGTCCAAGAGTTAATAAACTGCCAGCACAAAAATTCAGTTTGGGCTGGTGATGTAGATCAGTTGGTAGAGTGATTGCATAGCAAACACAAAGTCTTGGTCCATCTATCACAAAGGCACAAAGCTTCAATCCCAGAACTTCAGAGGCGGAGGCAGGAGGCTCAGAAGTTCCCAGGCTCCTTTCCTTACATAGAAAGCTCAGTGGCAACCCAGAATACATGAAAATCTATCTAAAAGTCTTACTTTCTTATCTCCTTTCTAGGAAACCCACCATAGATTGTTCACCTTCTAGGCTTCAGTTATTTCACAGACTAGTTACTGGCTTGTGTCATTTCCCTCTTGGAGTCCATGCTTCCTCTAATGTTCCTGATTTGTGTGAACTGCAACTGTCTAAACAATACTAGTCTAGATCTTACACCATAAACTAGAGCCCTATCCTGCAGAAATCCAACCTCTACCTTGGAATAGTGAGGGAGAGGGAGAAGGAGAGGAGAGGAGAGGAGGGAGGGAGGGAGGGAGGGAGGGAGAGAATTGAACCCAAGTTTTACTGAACTTATCAACTCCTCCCTACCTAACCATCTCTGCCAGGTTTCTTGGCATTAGCATCCTGGCCCTGGTGCAAGTGCAGAGTGCGACGTAAGGCTCTTTTGACCTCTTGGTTGCGCAAGCAGTAAATGATAGGATTGAGCAGCGGTACGATGACTGCATAGAGTACAGAGACCAGCTTGTTGGTGTCAAAAGCTGAGAGTGCTTTAGGCCTGGCGTAGATGAAGATACTGGCTGCATAGAAGATGATCACAACAGTAAGGTGGGAAGCACAGGTAGAAAAGGCTTTATGGCGGCCAGCAGCTGAGGGGATGCGCATCACAGCACCAGTGATGGCCATGTAGGAGGCTCCAGTGACAGAGAGTGGCCCCAGCAGAATAAAAATGGCCAGGATAAAATCTGTAAGTTCTGCTGTGGACATGTCAGTGCATGAGAGGTTGAGCAATGGAGAAACATCACAGAAAAAGTGGTTGATGGTGTTGGGCCCACAGTAAGACAGACGAGAAATGAGGAAAACTTTAACCATTGAGATGCCGAAACCTCCAGCCCAGGATCCAGCTGCCATCTGCACACAGAGCCGATTACTGACAATGACAGGGTAATGGAGTGGGTGACAGATAGCCACATAGCGGTCATAGGCCATAACAGCAAGAAGGACACACTCAGTGCAGCCCAAACCCAGGAAAAAGTAGAGCTGTGTCATGCAGCCCTCAAAGGAAATCAGCTGTCCGCGGTTCTGATTGGAGCTAATGAAGCCATCAAGCATCTTAGGAATTGTGACAGTGACATACCAAATCTCCAGGAATGACATATTAGCCAAGAAAAAATACATGGGTTTGTGGAGCGTGGGGTGGCTCCTAATTGCTGTAATGATGAGTGCATTTTCAGTCAGCACCAACACATAGGCCAGCAGAGAAAAGAAAAACAGTAATGCCCGCAGTGGTGCAGGAGCTGGGAAACCCAGCAACACAAATTCGCTAACTCGCCCACTGTAGTTCCTTCGCTCCATGCTTTCAGTCTTGTTCACTGCTCTTCAAGAGATGAGACCAAAGTGTCTTATGAAAGTAGCAGCAAGAATCTAGCTGTGGAATTTATTCTGATAGCCTGCAATACATGTGGTACATACAATTAATAACAGCTTCTCACTGAACTGAGCAATGAGCCAAAAAAAAAAAACACAGACAAAAATAAATGATTGTGTACTGCATCCACAATAAAAGATGGTTCTAATCCTTGAAGAAGTATGCACTGAAAGATAGCAGGTTAAAAAGAAGACAAGAGTCCCAGTGTCTGTCCTTTAGTCCTATATAAAGGGAAGAAGAAAACATCAAAGCCATAATGTCGATGGTGAAAACATAAGTGATGCATTTCCATAGAAGTAATTAAACACCTAAAATAAAAGATGATAAAATTTTAGGCTTCTCTAAAGTATTTATCATAAGCCTATGATATCTCTTTCTTGAGGAAATAAATTACACACTGAACAAATAGCAACTGTATATAACACAATTGAGTATCTACAGTGTATTAATATTGAAGGCATTGTTTTAAAATGTTTGTAGTACTACTGGCTCTTGAGAACAACTCTGAGGTGCTATCACTAATAATTCCACGTACACCTAAGAAAACTGAGATATAAAAATGTTAAGGGTGCGGCTGAAAAGATGGTTGGGAGCACTGGTTGCTCTTCCAGAGAACCAGGACCCAAATGGCAGCTCACAAACATCTGTAACTCCAGTTTTACAGAATCCAGCCACACACAGGATAAACGGGCACAGATGCATTCAAAACAACCATACCTAAAGAATTCAATAATAAGGAGAAAGTTTTTTAAAGGGAAAAATTACACAGATCTTAAGAAGTGGAACAAGAAGTTTGTGACATTAGAACCTGTGAAATATTCTGGTGATATACATTCCAGAGTTACATTCTAGAGAGGGAATCTACAAGTTCAGCTAGGCATTCAAACTTTTCAGGCAAAGAAAGGAGACTAAGGCAGAAAACCAAAGGTTACAGCAACTGTATAAGGCTCAAGTACCATAGAACTTAAAACTTACGAAGAAAGCCTAGAACTCACTTAGACATCATGTAATGAAGTAGTTTCTGGATGATCTAAGCGTTGAAAAGTCTATTGGATCTGAAAGTATGGCTAACTGTTTTCCAGAATAATGTCATTCCTTTAGAAACAAGGTTAAGCAAGCAAACACTCAAGTGAAGAAGTCTCTCTCTCTCTCTCTGTCTCTCTCTCTCTCTGTCTCTCTGTCTCTCTCTCTGTCTCTCTCTCTCTCTCAATATTGATAAAAAGTCAGAATTTTCCCCTCCCAAATCCACAACCCTTCTCTGAATCTGATGTATGAATAAAGCTGGCATTCCAACACGACAGTTTATATGAATAAAGGATGCTTTTCAGTCAATGTCTTCTATGGTCATAGCATCAGTAAGGGAGGCAGAGATCACAGTGCAGAATGAAGTAGAGTCTTCTGTATATCTGAATGTTTTTCCTCCCATAAGTTTCTTCCCTGTTTCTTCTATTGCCTGGGCCTATGACGTGGGAGGGTTAGAATGTACTCAAAAAGCAAAATCTAATAACCTGTAATGACATTAGAGCTACATTTCTCTTTTTATGCTCAGTTATCAATCCTTGGGCATTTGACATCTCTCTCTGTAAGAGAACTACTGACATGCTCGCTTCTTAAATGGAAAGTTAACAGCTACAACTTTCCTTCATGACCTAGCCACAACCATATGCCTCCATATCATCCTTTGGTCTCAGACCTTCAACTTTTAATATTTTCTAACTTCATATTTCAAAATCTGGGAAAGAAAGACTATATATGAACTACAAATTTTCTATACTTATGATCTAGTCCCTTCAGTCCAAATCATCATATTTTACTTTATTTAAGATTCATCCAGAGTGTCTTGTTGACTTCACAATAACATTGAAACTCTTCAACAAAGCATATAGCTATTTCATCATCTTGCATTGCTTTAAACAAAACATTACATGTTGCCACGTTTTTTGCCATTGTATTCTTGAAGTGCAATTCTATGTGTCACTGCATAGTTCTGACCCTGCTGCAGTCTCCATCATCACAACTGACTCAATCTTTGTTCAGGAAGCACACCTTGATATGAACACTATCTACCCTTCTTTCTTTCCTATCCTCCTCATAGGGCTGGTAGTGTGCCTCTCATTACCTCTTCCATTAAAACCTGTATATACCATCACTGCAGTTGCTCAAGTGGATGTTACAAAAGGTGTGATATGTAGGTAGAGTAAACTTACTTTGTAGAAACAATGTCAACGACAGAAGATTATATGATGATTTCTAGAATATGGAAAATATGAAGTAGAAGTGACAGATCATAAGGCTGTATTGAGGTAAGCATAAGATGAATAAATGATAACAAGCTTTTAATGAAAAGGCTAAGAAATTACTATTAACAGAAGTGGCAGATGTAGATAATATAAACTGAACTTTGGAGTTTTTATTAGGTATAGAGAAGAATAGCTAGATGGATATTCTTTATATAAATAAAAGATTGATGGAAGAATTGACCACTTGCAGAGGAACTAGCACACAATAGAATCTACTTACTTTTTCATATGTACTCAACTTACAAGAGTCCTTCTAAGATGGCCATGTTAGCTAGAAGAGAACTTAGGGAATAAGTGAAAAGAAGAGTTGAGGTAACAAGACAAATAAAGCTGCTATGGAAACTCCAACTTCTCTTCCTTCCATGACCAGGAAACTCTATCAAACCAGAAAAGATTCCTCTATACACTACCTCCCTACTCTAGTCCCAATTCCTCCCTCCTCCTTCTGATGCTTTGGGATGATACTGAGCAGGAGCCCAAGAGACCAGAGTGTTACAAGATGAAAATAAACAAAAAGGCTAAGATAAATGACATAGAAAGAAAATGTTTGGCAAACTTGGCAAGTAGTTTGTCATGAAAGTTATATGAAAGGCATGGTGTTCTAATTCTTCCACATTCTTGTTGCTGCTCCCTTGGGCCTCTCACTGACAGGCAGTCTTCGTTTTTTTCTTGCTTGATATATTTCTGCTCAAACGAATGCTCAAAAGGATGTTATAAGCTTTGGGCCAGGCCAACCTGGATATCTTGAGAAATTAAGATTTCCTCTTTGAACTTTATGTCCTTAATCTATGTAATAATATTAACAGACCTACCTCACAGGATTATTGAGGTAATAAATAACAGAAACATAATATGACTCAGCTATACTCAGATATATAGTCAAATTATTCAAAACTAGCATACAAGACACACTTTCACATCCATGTTTATTGAAATATTATCCATAATAGTCAAAATATGTAACCAGCAAAGATGCCCACCACAGATGAATATATATAAAGAAATGTGGTATATGTGCAATGGAGTTTTATTCAGCCATGAAGAATAATGAAATGTTTCATTTGAATAAAATGGAATGGGTTAGCAAACATAATGTTAAGAAAATTTAGACTCAGAAAGACAAAAATGGTATATTTTCTTTTATATGTAGAATCTAGAGAATCTAGATTTAAACACACACACAGATGTGTGTGTGTGTGTGTGTGTGTGTGTGTGTGTGTGTGTGTGTGTGGTGTGTGAAAGTGTAAAGGTGACTATTTGGGAAAAGGAGCAGAGAAAATGCCGGGGGAGGCAACAGAAGATAATGTGGGAATAGATGTAGATAAAATTCAACATATGTATGTACATTGTTTCATACAGTAAAATGACACTAATGATATCTTTAAACTAAAAATAAGAAAATTAAGGGTGGTGCCAAGAACATGACAAAGAGTCAACACTACTGGACTGTCTCCTGATCACATTTGGGTGACTCCTTAATTCAGTCACAAAAGATGTTCAGGATTGAGATTTCCATATCTTACTCATTTTTTATAGTTTATACTTCATTAATCTGTGGATTTTTATACAAATTTATTTTCTGTAAAATGATGAAAATATATTTCAAGAACTGAGAATTAAATGAAATCATGAAAATGCTTAGCACTGTTACTATCAACTCAACTAATGTAAATGTTGACAATGTGAAGTCCACATTCACACTGATAGTATTAAAATATATGACCTTGGCAAAAATTGTTCAAACTGTATGGTTCTGTGGTCTCATCTGCAATTATGAATGCTTCAAATACTTTACTGATAGAGTTGTAGAAACTAAATGAGTTAGCATACATGAAGAAGTTTCTTAGAATCACAGCATCTGGAACACAGTGTTACTACTAGAGAAACATTTACTGAATATGTATTGATTTTGGAGATAAAATATTAGTGGGAAATGGAAATGTAAGAGAAAAGTCTTTGAGATTCTGAGTTTAAGTGGGATTCTACTAAGTATTGGGGTGAAATTTTCCAGTTTTTTCGAAACATAAATGATCAGGAAAAAGTATGGTTGAGCAGTTATCACTGTATCACTAATAATAAGTCTCACATCCATGACAGATGTATACACACACACACACACACACACACACACACACACACACACACAGGCACAAATCTTCATGGCTTGCTTTTATTACAGGAAATGCACTGAGTTATAAGAAAGTAATCAGTATTAAATAAAATTGCCAGTGTCAGATATAAGATACTTCCCCATATACCATTGGCCAGTAAGATGCCAGAGATCCCCAGAACAGAATAGGCAATCATCACTGATCTTCATTGCTCACCACAACCACCTGGCAAGCCATATTGCTGACACACCCCACACTTTGGTTGAATACTACAGAGGAATCAAGCTAGAACTGACCTAGAAATTTCCTCTCTGTTGCCTAGCTTTCAAGGTGTTGGAATATAGTTAAGGATGCTGGAAGAGAAGAGCCAATAACTGTTACCCAGATGTGACCCCATGAGCTACAATAAGAAGTGCCTGAAAAAACATGCTGACTTTGTAGTAGTAGCATGACTATTATGTAGGTAACCAAATGCCTTGAGGTTCAGTTTAAGGCCTGCTACAGATGAGGAAATTC